GCCTGCAGAGGCTCTGGCCCCTCCCACACGTCGTCATCAGCCCTGCTAAGGACCCCGCCCTCTCCGGAGGTAGGGATCTTCCAAATTTTTAGGAAGGAGGAAACAGGCAGAGGTCAGGGACTGGTGGAGTCAGGACTTGAATTCCAGCCTCTGGAGTGCAGTGGGTGTGGGGTCAGAGGCACAGGGCTGCACTCCGGGCTCTGTAGCCTGCTGGCTGTGTGGTCTTGAGCCAGTTACTGAACCTCTCTGGTCTCTGTGTCTGTCTCTCTGAAATGGGATGATAAGGGTGCCTTTCTCGCGGTGGTGGTGGAGGGTGAGTGAAGCAGAGCTGTGGGGGCAGTGCCTGGCCGGGCCATGTAGGACGCCCTCTGTAGGTAACCAGTGGTCACTGCCCAACACACAAAGGGAGCAGTGGCTGGGCTTCTGTGCGGTCAGCTGTGCAGTGTGTCGGTGAGAGCAGCTGGTTTCCAGGCCTGGGGTGGGCTGGACAGAGGGACGGGGCCTGTGGAGACCCCACCGCAGCCCTCCGCCACAGGTGGCTTTGGGTTCGGGGGAGGAGGGTGAGCTCAGGGCTGGAGGGTCCAGGACGGCATCCCAGCTCTGCATGGATGGGTCACCTGTGAGATGTGCATCACCTCCTGGCCTCTCACAGGCCAGCCATGTGTGACCAGTGATACCCCAGGAAACTGTGACCTGTCACACAGCTGTCAGCAGATGTCCCCCCAGACCAGGCTAGAGGGCTGCGGCTCCAACCTGTCACAGAGAGGGGACCTCCGCTGGCTGACCAGCAGCCTCTAGGACCAGTCCTGGGGACCGTGGCTCCTGCCCAGTCCACTGGTTTGCGAGTCCATCAGTCGCCAGACATCCGCGTTTCGGAGTCTGACACAGAGCCGCCTTCTTGTGGCCACATCTGGGTCCTTGAGCTTGTGGGCCCGCGTGGTCAGCAGCCCTTAGCTGCCCTCATCTTGGACAGGGCTGGCCAGTGGGCCCCGCCCCAGCCAACGGGC